CACTCCAAAAGCTCCTAGTTATCATGGTGCACATCTCAGAAAATGCCCTGAGAGACCCCAAAAAAGCACATCAGCCTGTCTCAACCTTTCTGTTCCCTTCCTCAAGGGCCTTTGCACTCAGGTGTATGTTCCTTACAAACCTGAAGAACTGCTGATGCTATGAACTATGATGTGAATGCAATAAGTCTGAGGGTTTCAAGGTTACATAGAAATGGTACAAAATCCAAAATCCTGGGCACCATCAAAGCCAAGCAATGAACTCTGCTAAGTTTATTCAGTACCTTATGGTCTTCGAAGCAATTTTATATAGGTTATCTTGTTTAATCTTCACGGTACTCCTTAAAGGTAGGAACTGTTCAATCATTTAATCAACAGATATGTACTGAGTACCTACCAGGTGCCAGACACTGTTCTACACACTGAGCAATGAGCAAAGCAAAGCCCCGACCACCATGAAGCTCATGTTATAGTGTGTGGAAGGGAGCAAATACTAATATGCTATGCAACATCAGTTAGTGGTCAGTGCTACAGAGAAAAATGAGGCACAATAAAGGGATAGAGAAATGACAAGGGAACGCTGTAGTAGAGTGATCAAGGCAGGCCTCTGTGAGATGACATTTGAACAGAGGTCTGAAGTAAGGAAGCAACTCATGTGGGTACTTGGAAGAAGAGCCTTGCAGGCAGAGGGTATGGCAAATGCAAAGGCTCTAAGATGGGAATGTGCCCAACCTATTGCACAACAGCAAAGAGGGCAGTGTGGTCAGAGATCATGAGTGAAGGGGACACAAAGGACCTGATCAGGCAGGGCCTTCTATGCCATCATGGTAAAGATTTTTGTAAACCATTATCATCCCATTTCACAGATAAGGGAACTAAGAGTCAGAAAGTACAAAAGATTTGCCTAAGGTCAAGAAACAGTGAGGTCTTGGGAGGTACCCTGCCTCACTACTGAGATTTCTACTCAGGGCTCAGGCTTCTCATGGAGATTAAAAGTGTTGTTTTACGTCAGGCGTGCTAGCACGTACACCTGTAGTCCCAGCAACTAGGGAGACTGAGGCAGGACGATCACCTGAGCCCAGTACAAGACCAGCCCGGGCAACATAGCAAGACCCTGTCTCTTTAAAAAAAAAACAAAGTGTTTTAAAGAAAGAGATTAAGAATGTGCCCCATTTTGGAAGGAGAGGCAAGGAACCCTAAGACCCAGCAATCCCACTTCTGAGTACACTCCACAGGCAACTCTCACAAGGATCCAAAGGTGACATGACCAGTCATGGTCATGACTGTTTGAGGCAGCAAGGGGTTGGAAACAACAAAGATACCTAATTCTAGGGAAATAAGCAAGTAAAATAGAGTACACGCACATAATTGACTGCTCTGCAACCAAGAGAAATAATGAATTAGATACACATACTGTATTGCATCATGAATAGAGCTCAAAAACATTGTAAATGGTTAAAAAAACACGGATACAAAATTCAGGGATATCATTCCTCCGTTCAAATACTTCTGGTTCTCCTCCAATAAGGTCCCTGTTCCCTGTGAAGTTCAGGATGACCACATGATTTATTTTGGCCAATGAAACAGCCGCAAAAGTGACACGTGTCATTTCTGGGTAAAAACTTTAAGAGCCTGAATGTGGTTCACAAGATTCCCTTCTCAAGTAAGCATATTTCAGAGACAGTGCCTCTATCAGTCTGGGTCCCTGAAGGACTCCAATCTACAGAGCCTCCCACTGACCTGAAAGTGTGTTACACTACTGAGATGTTGCGGTTGTTACCTCAACATAACCTAGTTTATCCCGTCTGATACAGATTTATAGAACAATAGCATTTAGTACCCGAAACACAAAAACACACAATACTATCTACTTCCCAAGGGTACACATATAACCAAATAAACAAGTAGAATTATAAAGCCACATATTAAATACCTGTGAGTGGGTCCCAGTGGAAGAAAAGGAAATAGGGTGAAGGGAATGAGAGAAAAGGGGAAAATAAAAGACATAGATTTATTAAACACATTGTCCAAATATTCAAAATTTCATTCACTCATTGATTAAATTCATTCAACAAACATTCATGCGTCTATTATGTGTCAGATTTTATAACATTTTAGGTATTACTTATGCAGCAATGATTCGAAAAAGAAAGCAACCCTCTGCTTAAAGTTTATGGTGTACAAGAGAGACAGATATTTAAAACACCCCAGTAAAAAATTACAGACAATGATTAAAGTCTCATTAAAACTCAGGTGACACAAGAAAGAGGGACCTACTTTAGATTAGGT